ACATAGTAGAAATGTGTAATCCCTGTAATATGGGTTTTGTACTGTGAAGTGCAAAACTATTAAAAACTATGTAAGCTACTTTCTTACATTTTGGCGGTAATCCTTTTTTTTATTCTTTCTTTTTACTTTATAATATAATATTATTTAAAAAATGTTTTTTTTTCATTATATACATATGTATTTATTATTGGTGTATGAGGCAATTAAAAAATCACGATGTTCTTACAAATATAAGCATTTACTTTGACTTGTGTTATAGTCTACCTATACCATATTAACATTAAAATGTAGGTACCTAAGGACGAACTCGAACGAAGCGAGTGAATCGCTGGTTTACAGTAAAGTAATTGATATCAGACATACACATAACTGATAAGATTTGACAACACGTTTGGCTCAGTTTGTAGTGCTCCTACCTGCTGCACCAGCGGCCGCGCGTTCGAGTTCCGCGTCTGTATTTAAAGTTATATATGCGTAGTGTATCGACTATATAGTATCCGTAACACAGGCTTCGTAGCTTACCATGGAACTAGATGGTACAGTGTGCTAATGTCTCAACATATTTATTTATTTTATTTATTTAAAATATTTTAGTACACTTCACAGTTCATTCAACACTCATTTTCACTCATTGTTCTATGTATTTTTACTAAATAAGGAGGTATCCTGTTGTATACGAGCCATACAAGTACCTACTCGTATGTAGAACATAAAGCAATAGAGATAAAAATGTAATTGGGTGTAAAAACTAGTTTTAACTAACGCCTTTTCACTGCCTCCTTGCACAATAATATTTATAAGAAACGTATCAAATATATGGTATGGGTTTTAGATGACAGGTCCCCACACCATCTATAAATGCCAACCAAAGTACCTGGTTTTTTGCTAGATTTTGGTAATAATTCAAAAGTTCGCATTAGAATTAAATTTTTTGTGGAAATAGTGGGTTAATGAGTAATTTGGAATATGTACTTTGTATATTTTTATTTCGAGATTTACCGATATTGATGTGATTTTCGCACACTTATAATGAAAATAAATGAAGAAACAATTATGTTGTTTATAGTTCGGTTGTAAAAATTTTATTAGCACTGAAATCATTTTTACTTATTAAATACAACTTTTGTCACACACAGTTAAACAGGATATGATAATGTTTTTTTTTTATTATTTTTTATGTCCATGTTGTATTACGCCATTGTTAAGACGTTGTGTTTTGGTCTGCTGGATTTAGACTTGATAGAATCGATACCACTGATATGTTAAGTATTCGATTGGTCAGAACCGATTTCATTAAACCTCGATTATTTATAGGCGAAAACAACAAAGACACTACAAACATAATAGATAAAATATAACATTCCTCAAAATTCTCATCATTAAAGTATCAGAACAATTCGAAATAAGCCCATTTCCAATATAACCGTACAAATGGTCCTTACATGACGGTCAATACAATATGGGCGAACCATTTTTTCGGGCAAACCCTCGCCACACCATTCCTCCAAACAAAAGAGATTAGAAAAAGTTATTTGCCAAAAAAATTACACACTTGCAGCATAAATATTTCATATCTATTGTAAAAACCAAACCCACAATGGTATATTATCGTGCGACTTATAAAATTATGTTACGTTTTATGGTGACCACATCCGTTATGAAGTCATGGGTTCGAATCCCAAACGTATTGACCATACAGAACTGTCCATTTTCGAGAAAAATGGGATTGAAAAACTGATCACAAATACTTAAAACTCTAAACTACATACCAGCAATACTTCTGTTGGTAGGTACTAGTTTTGATGATATTTTTGTCAATGATATAGTACATGGTAATAAATTAAATGGTTAAAAGTGAAACAAAGAACTTGTCTCGAAACATAAACCATTATAAGTCCTTCTAAAATTAAAAAAAAGAATGCTCTTTATTTATGGTAGTCATGTGTTCAAAATAAGCGTTCAAAAACAAATAATACTCTATATAAATGATTTAAATTTTCTGTAAAATTATTCTGTGGGATTTATAATTTCTACCCAAAAAAAAATAGTTCTTACATTTTGTTAATTATTCAGTACTAAAAAATCATAGAGTAAAAAATATTCGATATACAACGAGTAAGGATTTTTAAACGTAAATAAATTTAACGTTATTGATTTTATATTATTTTTCGCTTGAAACCTCTTTGCATGGTGCTTCGATAAAAATAGCACAAAGACAATATTATAACTTTCTAACAGTAAATGATTATAAGAATTAATTCTAGTTCCAGAGATTATCCTCTATACATAAAAAATCTAAGAAATTAAGTATACTCCTTTGTATGAAAAACCGCTTATCGCCACTTATTTAATAATGCAATTCAATTATTGTTGATAGCACTTATTGTAAACAATCTATTTTGTCTTCAATGAAAATGTTTCATCATTAGAAATGACAATTAAAACACACAACACACATATATCGAGCGACTTGTTAATTCCCACTCATAAGTATTAAATCACATAGTAACTAACTGGTTCCAAAACGGGCTAACAAAATGGCGGAGCAAATCAGCTGTTTCTCAAGGGCTTTAATTTTAAATAAAATATGTATTGTTCACAAGAAAACAAGATTTTTATAATAGAATTGTTGTAGAAATTGTAAATAATGTATAAATATTTTTTGCGACTGTGACGCCGGTTTTGGCGGGAATCAGCTGAGCGTCAACGTCACTCGTAACTCGCACCAAGGAGGTCATTGTTTTGTAACCTTGAGAACTTTTTTCGTATAATATGGAAACAATGTTTCGTTTTAGGTTTCGATATTATTAATTATTATATTAAACTAGTGATGAACTCAATAAAAGTACATTAATATGATAATTTTTCATTTTTTTATCTTTTGTTAGAGAAAATTAAAATAACATTTAATATTTCTTTATTTGAACCAAATTTATTTGAAAACTTTTACATTTGAATTTACGATTTAAATACTAAAATATACCATAAATTCGCTAGTTACGATATACTTAAATACTAGAGTTTTTGCGACCGCTACCAATGCCTTTCATAATACACGGGCGCCTCAACGCGGCAAAATCAGCTGATAGACGGTGCTTTTTTTCACATTTTTTGCTCGTCATTACCAAGGAACAGGTTCTTAATGCCGGTTTCTTTTATTTTGAATCGTTTCTGGGAACGTTCAGCGTTTTGGTTACAATTTTTTTTAAAGCAGGTAGGTTTAGACAAAATAGTTTGTACTTTGGCTGTTTAAAGCAATGCCTTTGTCAATATAAAAATATGACCTATCAATTAAGGGCGGGATGTTGGTACTTGGTAGGAAATAGGAATGTTAACCAATCTATACATATAATAAAATTGTAACTAAGCCGAATCTGTACATTAAATATTTTTTGGAAAATCTTGTTGAAATAAACATTATTATCGATACAGAGGCCGAATCTATAGTTTTTAGAATTTTTCTCTGTCTGTCTGTTACCGCACCACAGAAAAACCGCTGGACGGATTTTGATGAGATTTGGTATGGTGATAGCTGGTTATCCGGGTCAACATATAGGATACTTTTTACCGCGGGAAAATATCTCATTTCTGAGAAAAAATACAAAAACTGCAACGTAAGAATATACTAATATGTAAAACCTAAGAATTTGGTTTTTGGTCATCTGAACGCGGGCGGAGCCGCGGGCAATGCTAGTTTAAAAATAAAATTAAAAGAGTAATATAAGTTTTACGGTGAAATTTCGACGTCATTTCTTAACTGTAAAATGAACCAAGGTTAAATAAGTTAAAATACAAGAATCTACTTGTTCTACGTGTTTTTTTAATTTTAAGTATACTTTTGAATGAGAAAAGATATTTATAATGATTCTATCTCAATTTGTCTTTATCGTCTAAAAGCAAACTATTGTATCAAATAATAGGATCGCGCAAATCGATACTTTCTACGAAGTATGTACTTGCTGTGTAGTTCCTACGTAATTTTAGTCAATCGCAAGGATTAAAAGTTATTTTATGCTAAATTGATTCTCCATACCAACTTTCATTCCCATTTTCACCCTCTTAAGAGATGATTTCCGGGATAAAAAGCATCCTATGTCCTTCCCAGGGTCTCAAACTATATTCTTACCAAATTTCATCTAAATCGGTTCAGTAGATCCAGAGACACAAACTCACAAACTTTGCCTCTTTATAATGTTTATTAGCATAGACTACGTTTATAATATGTCTATCCGGTTTGAAATAAAAGCATCATAAAAGCTTTATTCCTATAATGCTAAATATTACGAGTTTAAATACAGTGGAAGATATTGTTAAAATATAGTACAGCTGCATAGATACTACTAAATTAAAAAAAAACTAGCTTGTCAGTTTAAAAAAAATATTTTTAAAGAAGACTGCATTTATTTATATCATACGTGATAATTTCTTTTTGAAAGTTAATAATAATAATTAACATAGCGACATATGTTCGCTTCTTCACGATATTTTCCTTTACCATCCTACTAATATTATAAATGCAAAAGTTATGAGGATGTATGGATGTCCGGATGTATAGATGTATGGATGCTTGTTACTCTTTCACGCAAAAACTACTGAATGGATTTTAATGAAACTTTATAATAATATAGCTCATACATCTGAATAACACGTGGGCTACTTTTTATCCCGAGAAATGTAAGGTTCCCGTGGGATAGATTTGTTTTTGCGTATGCCGCTAGTAATCTATATAGGTATGTATAAATACTAAATAGGCAAAGAAAAAACAGTTCAATAACAGTGTCTACTGTTTGTCTACCGATTTTCTTTTTCTTTGTTCAGTAGCTATTTTTATATTAGTAGTTAGTTTTTTTTTTAATATAGATAGGTAAATTCTATTCATATATGTTTTTTTTAAATTCTGACTCGATCAATTCACATTCGCACTCACATTTTAAAAGTAGTCCGAATACAACTAAAAGACAATAAAACAACGCTTTTAGGGTATACTGATTTCGTTTTTATTTTTCCAAATCTCGTAATTTATGTCCGAAGACTTTATAGAAAAGGTCCCAAAACGCCATTCTATCGTGAAATGGTCTGGATATAGTGGTCAACTCAGAGTCAATCACCATACAATGTGCGTGGTCAGCTGTGAGAGGCGACCATTTTAATGGTAGGAGAGGTGAGACGACTGGTGTTGGGTCTCTGGAAGAAAATAAACATAGACTAAGCTAAGCCCACGTCCCTATTTGAATAATAATTATTATTAGTCCTGGATATGGAAAATAGAAGATGATATTATTTTACTTGCAATTAATCAATGCAAAAGTGTGTGTTTGTTTGTCCTTCTTTCACTTTACAAGGAAGCAATGGATTGGCAAATTTTCTTACACAGAGATAGTAGCCTATCAGCCGAAGAGTGTTACAGTCTATTTGATAAGTAATCAATAAAAATTAAAAACATGAAAAAAAAATATTGGCACGTTCTAATATGATTTGACACATCAGATGTATTTAATACACACTTACCCATACTTAGCAAAGTTAGCCCACATGGCCGTCATTCGATCTATAACAAGCTGGTCTGTTTTTGATGGTGTTTCTTCATAGGATATATCAAACAAATAGGCTATTTCATCAGCGTGACACGCCCCACCCTCGGTTATCCGAGCTCTTTTTTTAACAAAATTCCTATCTCCACAATATTTAAACAAGTATTGATAAACTTTTGCACCATTTTCTATAAATTGCTTAATTCTTCTCTGCATCGGATGTATAAAGCTAATATCTGAATCAAAATCTATAATTTCCCATAACATTTCTCTACTGAATTCTTCATCTCCCAAATAAAATTGACGAACGATATCCTTCGCCCATCTATGGTTGTCCAAATCGAAAATGGTGTCCAAATAGATTTTGATTATATCACTTCCAAATTCGTCAGGAGTTTTTAAATAGTGACGGTACATGGTTTCCGCATCACAAAAACCTGCCATAATTGGTATACCTTTTAGGTTTTTTAAAGGCATTCTTATGGGATAGTTTGGTATCAATTGCTCAACTTCTTCAAAGTTCTTTTCTATACACGGACGGTATATTATACGGAGTTCTTCAGACGCTTTTATTACCAAATGTGGGTGTATTTTAGCCAGAAACGCCACAGCCTCATTTGGATCTTTGGTTTTGAAGCCTAATCTCTCGGCCAAGCGTATCTGAATGGTGTGGTCATATTTTTTTACAACTAAAGGTCGCAATGCTGTGCCACTCATCAAAATTGCTTTATGAAACAGCGTTTCATCAAGTGTTAAAAACAAATCGATCGCCATAGCTCCAGAACTTTCCCCAAACACCGTAATATTGTTGACGTCACCACCAAATTCGGAAATGTTATCTTTGACCCACCGCAAACCTAGTAAGATATCCTTCAAACCTTGGTTTCCTGGAATTTTTGGAGTGTTCGTACAAAGGAACCCATAAGGACCCTGTCTGTAGTTCATGGTAACCAGGATAACTTGATTAGCCATGAAATATTTTGGACCATATATGAACCGCCCAGGAAACCCTATCGCGTATCGGCCCCCAAATATCCAAATTATAACAGCTAGAGGTGTTTTTGAATGTGGAACGTAAATATTTAAATGAAGACAGTCCAAAGAGCCAATTATAGTGTGAGTGTATTCCTCTTGTTGAGGACTTGCGGCTGAGTCATCATTGGCATCAAATATGTGGTCAAATTTTGGATATGGTGCCGCTATCTGTGAAACATTACATTAACAAAACTTTTTCACCAGAAACTTATTTCTTATTTTTTTTCTGTATATTTTTTTATTTTTTTTATTCTTTAACGAGCTTCAGTATTATCATTAAAAAACTTTTTATTGATAATACTAAAGCTCGTTAAGCTTTAGTATTATCAATAAAAAAACTCGGACCTCTGGGCGAACACTAGTTATAACAATATAATATATGGGCTAAAAGGTACGTCGAAACTAAAAATTAAAACTAAAAATAAAACTTACTCCAAAAGGGTTGTCCTCCAAAACTCTCCCAAAAGGAATTCCCATGAACATGTCATAACTCCCATCGTTTGCTTTGACTCCACGAATCACGCCTACTTTACTTACTACTGTGGGCTTATAGTTTTTTTCTGATGACACTGAAAAGAAATAAAAAAAAAATTACATGATAAGTACACTGATAATTAAATCAATTAAAATTAAGTGTATTCAGCTATAGCATTCTATTAAGATGCAAAAGTTTGTATCAGTCTTTGTTACCGCTTCCTGGAAATTACCTTCTTTTTTTAATGTTGGGAAATGTATCTACACATACCACCTGCATACAATGTAGTTATATAGGACTCACCGGCTAGAAAAGCCAGTACTACGCACTAAAACAGTACCTCCCCCATTTTAATGGGACGTCGCAGGCTTACACAATCAACCCCGACGCCCCGATGGCTGCCTGCTGAGGCAGACCACAACAACCAAGGGGTTGCTTCTACGGCCCATTTGTATATGATAGAATTATCAGGAGCAACCCGCATGGTACACCACCCACTGAAGTGGACTATCTCCCAGTATATCTCTGGGATTTTTGGCCGGCTGGATTGCCAGACACTAATGAACCCCAACCACGTCAAGGTGATTACACATCAGGAGGGGGAAGGGGGAAGGGGCGAACGGGTTAAGGGAGAGGGTGGGGGTAAGGGGAGGGGGATGGAGAGTGGGAAGATTATGACCTGGAGTAACACATAGGTTTTTGTTAGGCATAAAGAGACATACCCGAGTAAAGCTAGGGTAAGCCGCTAGCTAGATAATAAAAAAGTGCGTAGTAATCTATAACAAATAAAATTTCACGACGCGCAATAACCCGCTAAGTATATGGTAATTGCAATTGTAAAATATCTAAGCAAATGTGGCGATTAGTTTTACTGCCTCATAGGTAAGGTTTCAGATCTTGAGGGCCGTTGGTTCGATTTCCGAGTTGGGCCGAATGTAGCTATTTTTTTTTTTTTTTGTTTTGTTAGTTTGAATTTTTCTGATAAGAAATTCTCAATGACAGATCGCAGTCTTAAAACTTGATGGAGTTTCATCCCGGATCTCGGACCAATGTCAACGGTTCTGCGCCTGTTTTCTCTCCACTAGAAATTGTGGTCAGACCAGAGTTTGAGTGAAAGTGATAAAGAGTGCATTTGTGTCTTTATGCACAATTGTAACAATAATATGCACAGGACATATTTATTGTGTGCATATTATAGCTTATGTTTGTGAGTTTGTGACGTTGTAGGGAGTAATCTTTGGATCTACTGAACCGATTTAGATGAAATTTGATAAGAAGATAGGTTGAGACCCTGGGAAGGACTCAGGATACTTTTTATCCCAGAAATCATCCTTTAAGGGAGTAAAAATGGGGATGAACGTTTATATGGGGAATCAACCTAGGGACGAACCCTACTATAAAGACGGATATACTCGTAGCTACATAACATCCTCTGCGCACAGTATAAACTATAAAGTCAAAAATTTACTTACCTTATTTACTATTTTTATATAAAGCACATATTAAATATAACACAAACTATATAAAATGAATTATTTAAATTATTCTTGATTTCTTTATTATTCTTAAAAATCAATAGAATAATTTTAATAAGCCTTGATTATATGTATAATAATATTTTCTTCATAATTAGTTACATACAAACAAAATTACATATATATGTATGTATATATATAAAAAAATTAACTAAAGAACCTTACTTGTGGCATTTCGAAGATCTACTAAGTTGTTGGATATGCGAGACCTTTCCTTATATCGCGGAGCTCGTGGGGCGGTTGGGGCAATTTGAACCATACATTTTCTCAAATTTTCTATAATATAATATAAACAATACATATATTATAAATTTTATGGGGATCTTTACTCCTCACAAACATTTCCACCTGAGTCCCACCACGCGGATGATCCACGTGCCAGACTGGTACGCCACCAATCAGATGAGCTTCCCGAAATCGACGTGGGCGAGATTAGGATAACTCTTGGACAATTAGGAAACAACAAAGCTCCGGGTGAAGATGGAATTACTGCGGAGCTTCTTAAAGCTGGAGGAAGACCTGTTCTATTAGAGCTCGCAAAGCTCTTTAATTCTGTTCTTCACAATGGCATTATACCGGAGGCATGAAGCAGGGGTGTGGTGGTATTATTCTTTAAGAAAGGGGATAAAGCCCTTTTGAAGAATAACCGACCCATATCACTCCTGAGCCATGTGTATAAGTTGTTTTCAAGGGTTATCACGAACCATCTCGCCCAAAAATTCGATGACTTCCAACCCATCGAGCAAGCCGGGTTTCGAAAAGGCTTCAGTACCGTAGACCACATACACACACTAAGGCAAATAATTCAAAAGACCGAGGAATATAATCAGCCTCTATGCCTAGCGTTTGTGAACTACGAGAAATCCTTCGACACCATCGAGACCTGGGCGGTTCTACAATCCATGCAGAGATGCCTTATTGATTATCGGTATATCCAAGTACTAAGGTGTTCGTACGAAGCCGCAACGATGACCATTCAAGTACAAGGTCAGAGCACAAGGCCGATCCAATTGCACCGCGGGGTAAGACAGGGGGATGTTACATCCCCGAATCTGTTTACCTGTGCATTGGAGGACGTCTTCAAGACGCTCAATTGGAACGGATGCAGCATAAATATTAATGGAAAGTATATGACACACCTGCAATTTGCCGATGACAGTCATCATGGCAGAGACTCTGAAGGATTTGAAAGAAATGCTGAACAGCCTAGGCGATTCTTCAAGGCGAGTGGGTCTCGGGATGAATCTCGACAAGACCAAGATCATGTCGAATTGTCATGTATCCCCGAGACCAGTGATCGTGAATGGCGCTGTTCTTGAAGTTGTGCAGGAATACATACGAGTATATCTTGGCCAAACTATACAACTCGGCCGGCACAATTTTGAGAAGGAGGCCAACAGAAGAATTGGCTTGGGCTGGGCAGCTTTTGGGAAGCTTCGTCATATTCTAGAGTCATCTATCCCACAATCTCTTAAGACCAGGGTATTTAACCGATGCGTCCTACCCGTAATGACATACGGAGCCGAAACGTGGACACTCACCGTAGGACTGATCCTCAAATTCAAAGTCACTCAGCGAGTTATGGAACGCGCGATGCTTGGAGTTACTCTGGCAGACAGAATTCGAAATGAAGTCATTCGCCAGAGAACTAAAGTAACCGACATCGCGCGCAGCATAAGCTCGCTGAAGTGGAAGTGGGCCGGTCATGTCGCCAGACGTACGGATGGCCGATGGAGACGAAACGTGCTAAAATAGAGACCGCGTTTAAGCCAGCGTAGTGTAGGACGCCCTGCAGCACGATGGATAGATGACCTAAGAAAGGTGGCTGGCAGTGGATGGATGCGGGCTGCCCAGGACCGGGATGGTTGGCGCTCTTTGGGGGAGGCCTTTGTTCAGCAGTGGACGGCGATAGGCTGATAGATGAATACATATATATATATATATATTATATATATTTATATATAATATATATATAAAATACACATATATATATATATAAAATATACAATATATAAAAGTACACAGATAGACTATGATCGAGTAAGACATGGGCCAGGTTACATTTTGCAGTAATAGCCCATTGGTAACACATTCGGCTGAAAAACCAAGTTAAGTGAGTTCCAATCTAGGTCTTACATAACTGAATTTTCTTGTGCGAATCATTTTCATCATGGAAATGATTAATACTTTCTTAGATTTATGCGAATATTTCACATTTTAAATAAAACTATCTTTTGGTATTATTTCGCGGATTTATTTTGATTTTTGGGTCCCGACGTTTCGATTGCTTTACAGCAATCATGGTCACGGGAGAGACTCTCTCAAAATGGAAATAATTCTTATGAGTACTGCCGAACTGGTATATGAACGCGTGTATGTCACATATTTTGACCATATTAATTATTGAAAATTTATAAATATATATAAAGCATTTGCGCCCACTCTACCTCATTGAAAATTATGAAAGAAGTAATTTCATTCGTGGTACTTACGCTGATGGATATAATATGTATGTATGCATAATTTTTCTTACCCTGTGACCCTATTTTTTTTCTAAAAGTAGCCTTAGTTACTCCTTTTTACATCAGCTATCTGCCTGTGGAAGTCCCGTCTGAATCGGTCCAGCCATTTCAGAGATTAGCCGGAACAACCAAACAGACAAAATTGTAAAAAGTGTTGTTTTGGTATATGTGCCGTGTACACACCTATATGCATTTAGTAAACAGCTAGTAATTTGACATTACACTCAGACACTTCAATTTTATACATTTGTATAGATAAACTCTATTATCTAATCCCGCTCGTCCTCAAATATATTTTTTTATCTTATATTTATTATGTACTCGTAGTAGTAATATGCGTACGTAATTAAATACTTAACCTATACCTATACAGATAAATAAAATTGTAGTGTCTTTTTGTAATGACAAAATAATAGCTTTTTACTAAATGCATATGAAATTTACGGGTACGGTATTTAAAACGAAAAACACAATTTAAACCCTATATATATATATATATATATATATATATATATATATATATATATATATATATATATATAGGGTTTCGAGTTCTCGAGGGTTTACTGCGAAAACCTGCTAAACTACATTTTTAGCAAAAATGAGTTAAATAAATGAAAATTCTTATCTTTTTGAACTCTGTATACTGGTAAAACCGGCTAAGTGCTACGTTAAATACTTACGAAGATAGAATAAAGTAAAAACAGTTATATACAACAAATCGTTCAATACTCGATTGCTAAAATATCATAAACGACGATGCTAATAATTTACCTAATAAATGTTACATGTAAAAAAAAATAAGGATTCATAACCTTTTTTTCTTTGTTAATAGGTAAAAAAATGTTCTTACAAAACTTCAAGAAATAAAATCTAAAGGAACTTAATCGTATTTAACAAAAGTTCTCTGTTTATTTCGCTATTGTAATTATACAGCAAAAAGCTGATAAATAACTGTAATCACATTTTACATGTACGAAATTATTACAATAACTATCCTACCGTTGACATGCAGAAGCGAATAAACGACTATAGCTAATTTAAGCGATACACAATTATTGAATTCATGTTCAGTGATTTAGTGTTTAAAGTAATACGCGCTCTTAACATGTTTTGACAGGTTGCCGTCGGTAACTTAGTTCCATGTAGCAATATACTCTATGCTTAGTTCACTAGGAGTATTCACCGCGAACGTATCGAACGTTGTTTTTGCGTAAATTGTATTAGTTTTTAACTGTTTTATGAATATTTAATTGAATATATGTGACAGATATTTGTGAAAATGATGTCAAGAGGAAAAAGACTTGTCTCTTTAGTGATTAAAAATAATGAAATTGATACTGGTAAGTTTAAATTTAAGGTTATATCTTCTAACAAATTTTATTTGCGAATATTTTCCTTATGCACTTATTATTTTTTAGAAAATTTGTCAACTACAAATGCAAGCCCTGTAACCGCGATTCTGTCTACATGTAATAACACAACTGATATAAATGAGTATCGTCGTTCAATTATTGCGGGTAAATTATGTTTATACTTTATTATCTACAACTGTAAGTGTATAGACGAGTTTTGAAAATGATTAGGGTGTATTTGGTGTACACATAATTAGCAGTAATTGTTAAAATCTACCTAATATTTTTTTTTATTAGTTTTACTCGAGAGTGACCCAGGCTGTCGAAATAAAGTGTTCACTTTGTCATATTTTTCTTTATAATATAGTAGTCAAACAAATTGAAACCTTTTGTTAAATTTTCAGATATTTCAAGCACCATAGTGTTTCCTGATCATGCCAATACTTTTATTGAATCTTTGCCATCCTGTTCTAATTATCGAGAAGGTAAGTAAAGTTACGATGCTAATAAAGTTTTCGTAATACTAATTTTAAATAGAGGTAAAACTTCATTATTTTATATGCTAGGAGTAATTTCTAACTACTATCTCAATCTTAAAAATTATTTCACTAATAAACATACATCCTAATAATACTTTCTTAGATTTACGCGAATATTTAACATTTTAATTAAAACTATCTTTTTTTCCGGAAACAAACATCGGAATAAATCCGCGAAATAATCGGAAAAGATAGTTTTATTTAAAATACATTATACTATTAGCTATGTTACATAATCTAAAAAATAATAAAAAAGTACTTTGAGTTATGTTTTAATAACTTAACATGCGAGTTCGTCAGCGCAAGAGCTAGTCCTAAATAAAGTAAGTATTAATAAGATGCTATTGTAAGTTATTCTAAATCTAAAATTGTTTGTTTTAGAAAAATATATGGATGACGATGTTGAAAAGGAATTAGAGAGTTTATTTGGCGACGTTTCGGATACTGACGATCCAACTTACCGCTTGCCGGAATACTCCCATCAGCTTGAAAACGAAGATTCTAATGGACTTGTTACATTAAAAGATTTACTTGGAAATAAAGAAAATGAAAGTGTTCAGTATTTTGATATTCAAGAAATACAGAACAATATTGAAATTATTGAGCAAAATAAAGTCCAATATCACGAATCAATGGTCGTAGTTGAAGAGATTTTGACTGAGCTGTTCAAAAAATCTTGGTTACTTATTGAACCGTCGAAGAGGTGGCGAAAATCGAATCCAAACAACTGGGCTCGTAATGTGGCTAAAAAGAGACGAGCAGATGGTCTGCCTTACCAAATCAAAGCGAAATCCAGGCCTGCTAAGGTGCCTAAAAACATTGATTGTTCGTCATGTCAATATAAGTGCCATGATGCCTTCGATATGACGACTAGAGATAGTATTTGCAGATATTTTTGGAATTTAGACTTTCAGGCTAGAAAGAATTTTATTTTATCTAACGTTACCATTCCACAACCAAAACGAATTCTCTCTGTACGCAATCGACAACGACCAGAAAAGAAATATACAAAAAAATGTTTTTTTACTAAACAAAGTGATAAAATTCAAGTATGTCAGAAGTTTTTTTGTCGTACTTTGAGTATCTCCCCTGCAGTAATAACTGATGCAACACAGAAACGAAACGATCTAAACTGTTTTGATGCGAAAGATCGTAGAGGAGCACACGAGCCGGTCAATAAAACGAAACCTGACATTATTCAAGGGATAAGAAAACATATTGAGTCATTTCCATGTATGGCTGCCCATTACAGTAGAAAAGATACTCAACGCAAATATTTAGATAAAAATCTTAATATTCGAAAGATGCATTTATTATACAGAGATGAATGTTTAAAAAATGGTTCTGAGCCAGCTTCAGAAATAACCTATCGCAGAATCTTCTCAAAGGAATATAATCTTAGTTTTTTTGTACCCAGGAAAGATCAATGCTTAGTTTGCACTAATTATGCTCAAGCTGAAACAGAGAAGAAAAGAGAACTTGAAGATGCTTATAATGCTCACCAAGAAAGGAAGAAAATTTGCAATAGAGAAAAAGAGAAGGATAAAGTCAGATCAAACACTGATGAACATTTTAGTTCTGTAACATTTGACTTGCAATCAGTACTCCAAATACCCTCCTGCGATGTAGGACTGCTCTATTACTCTAGAAAGTTGTGCGTATACAACCTCACGATCTACGAGGCTGCTTTACCCAATAACGCTTATTGTTTTTCATGGTCAGAAGTAAACGGACGGAAGGGTAGCTCTGAAATTGGTAGTATACTGTTACACTACCTCTCAAACTGTGTCCCTGAAAATATCAAAGAAATAAGCTTATTTTCAGACACTTGTGGCGGGCAAAACCGTAATCAATATGTATCTGCTTTACTTCTTTGGGCAGTGCAAAAAATTAACAATCTTAGAGTTATAGAGCAAAAGTTTCTGGAATCGGGGCATACACAAATGGAAGCAGATTCTATGCATAGTAGCATAGAATCTGCTAAGAAAAATAACTCTGTTTTTTCTATGATGGATTGGATTTCTATTTTCAAGCGTGCTAGACGTAGGCAAACCATAAAAGTTGATGGGAAAAAAATAATAAGAGAACCATACCGAGTAAAAGAATTTAAATTTGACGAGTTCTTCGACCTAAAGCACCTTGCAAATACTCTCATGAAAAATAGAACAAAAGATGATAAAGGAAAACAGGTTCAGTGGCTGAAGATAAAGCGTATAAGATACGTAAAAGGAGAAGTCAGAAAAAAATTTTTCAACTATGACATGAGCGACAATTTTAATTTTATAGAGATTCAAGAAAAATCAACGTCTTCCACATTCCAAAGTGGACTTAATCACGCGTATTCTACGCGAAACAAGAAGCGGTCTACTGAAAATTATTTAGCAGCTGTTAATCTTCAATTTCCAGACCAATTAAATCGCCTCTATCAAGAACAGCTGGAAATAAGCGAAGCCAAAAAGAAAGATCTAATTTCTCTTTGTAACAAACTAATCATACCTGAGGAGCTTCACGGTTGGTTTAAAGTTGGTTTAAGCTTAAAAACAAGCAAACAGATTGTTGACAAATTACCTGAACCAGCAGTTGATGAAGTTGAAAGTGGTGAAGATGAATAATAAAGTTAATTATTATCAAAACTGATTATAATGTGATAAAAATAAATCATTAGCATACATGACTGTGCATTTATTCTTTCCACTATTAATATTTCTTGGAAGTCAATAAATATTTACAGGTAAAACCTGCTAACTATTTTCTTTGTCAGACTAAACCATAAGTTCCCTTGTTTAGCATTATTTCATGTAAAATGCAGTATAATATCGAAGCTACCTAATTTTCAACATAAATCATATAAAATATTAATAATCTCGCATTAAGCGCCTTTTAGCAATGTACATGTTAAACCGACTAACTGTACTACCTCAGTCATGAGTTTCTCTATTTCATACACTTCTATCATACATATTTACTTAGACTACACAAAAATGAAATCTTTATTATATTTCCTAACTTGTGACTACTACAGTATTTAAGGCCTACTAAAATTATAGCATTTTTATTAGGTATAAACTTTTAAAACGCAATAACTCAAAACTAACTTGACTGCACTTAGCAGATTTTCGCAGTAAACCCTCGATATATATAAGACGGAGGAGGATTTAGTTACCTTTTTCTGTTATGAAACCTTATTATTGTTTAAAGTCACTATGTTCTTTAATTTACTTTTTTATTGCTTCTAAATAGATTTTGAATTTAGAGCAGAGATTTAGTCTCGAGCGGGGTCGAGACGCCATCACGACATTCTTTGGAGATACGTGGCTTAGTAACGTTGGTTGATCATAAAGAGTTATATTTGATATTGTAGTTGGAAGTCGATGATCGGTGACTGTGAACCCGCTAGCTCTAAATCATTAGAATTACCGTTTCAAGTTTATAACATTGTGACTTCCCTGATTAAATTGTGTATTGAGCACTGAATACTTTATTATTTGAGCCCTGATAACGCCCACAAGATGAGTAACCACTAAAGATGATGTTCGTAGTATATGGATAACACGACATCAGAAGTGGTATGATACCCGAAGAACAGGGCAAAGATAGATGACAGCGGCCATTTGAAAATTTTGTTGCGAAAATTTTCTCAAACTGAAACGAAATGCGATGTCAAATGTTATTTAAAACGGACGCACAAAATGGCGATGCATATGCGGGTTGTTTTACAGAAGATTTACTTTTTGATAATCATGAATCATGATGATATGATATACTCGTATGCAAGATGCTCAAAAGATTAAAATAATCATAGATGTCTCAATTTAATTTTTATGAAATGACATGACGTCGTCAAAAATTTGTTGCTAGCTGGATTTGATTTTCTTGATATTATCGCAGAAATATTTTTGAACACGATATGTATGGAAAAATTAAATGGAAAATTTGTTTATTTCAGGATGATATATGAAGTTAATTTATTTAATCGATAAATTACGAGAATTATTTTTGAAATGTTTTTGTTCGATGCTTATAAGGACCTTCTTCTAGTTATGAAATAAAATATAAATCGTGTCAGAATTTTAGTGTCAAAAATGTTTTGTATTGTAATTGTTTGCTTTATATTTTCTTTATTTCAGGATTTTTAAAGTGAAAATATTGAGTTGATATTTTTGATAAAATAAAATTTAACTAAAAGGCTTGCTATTTCCCGTCGGAACATTTAAAGACGATATTTGCGAATTATATTGGGAAAATTACATAGTTCCTTTAACTTGCGTATTCATTTCGGTTATAAATTTTTTATTTAGCAGTTGATACTAAATTAAAAATTTTCCAGCAGTCCATCAGGTAAAAGATGTTCCAAAAGAAATATGAGAAATAGTCAACTGTATTAATAGTGATACAGTGACAAACTAATGTTTGTGTACACTCCGAAGACATTCTCATACGCACGCTGAGATAGAAATTTTTGATTATAATACCGATTTCATATGTCCTTATTTGTTCCAAAGATTAAACATAATTAGATCGGGCCGATGGTAATATCAACTGTGGCACAATAATAAATAATATAAATTTTCAGGTGCTTCGTTTCTAGTGTTCAAAATATGTATTTAGCGTAGAGAGGACGATTTCTTCAGCTAGACAAAATAAAATCACGCTAAGCCAGACCACATGAGACGTATACGATGCCCTAGAAGAAGACGGTATCCAGAGATGCTTGGGCTATGCCAAAAATGGATATCTGTGGATGTTTCATTTAATCTAATGTGAATTTTCTATGGTGAGACGTTTCCATTTTGTTTAGGTATGTGAGGCAAGTGATTTCCGAATGTACCGTTAAAGACGGTTGTAATTTTAGTTATTTCCAATAATATCTAGCAGCTTAACATTAATAAACCTACGTAGCACAAGCTAGGGTGACTGAATTGACGAAGTTATGTAACATTGACAAGCCGAAGTAGCACGATGAGGCTGTATGATTCTGATATTGCTGTGCGACGATGGTGGAAGGTGGTATTTAGACAATGGGGTACCTATTAGGCGTTGACGAGTCTTTGTAGCAAATGTAGCCTGAGTGGCGAGAGTTGCCTGTGTGGCAAAAGTAACATATGTGGCACATGTAGCCTGAATGGCGAGAGTTGTCTGTGTGGCATTGGTTGGGTTCTGTCGCATCGTTTGATTTGTGTGGCACCGACTTAACTTGATTAACATATGAGACACTTACTTCTGTAACTTGTACTCAATGATAAATAAGTTGTGTGTATAGTTTTTTAGGTTTTAGTCATTTTAAAGATTCAGTATTGACAAATTTGTCTTAAAGAAAACTAGTTAGGGAGAATGAATATGATTTGAATCGCTCTTTATTGTTAACATATAAAGCTAAACATTTACCCAATATTCATTGTGTTAGGTACATTGGAATTTGAGGGTGTCTGTTTGTACTAAGTACACTTTTGCACTAAATATCTACTGCACCGATGGCTAGTATTAGTAAGATTGGCCACCATGGTCAGTTATTTGGTCAGGAATAGCCGAGCTAATGTTACTTTTTCTATAGATCGATTTTCAATATCACACGAGGGCGCGTGAACAGCAGGACGGCCGTGGTAGAAGAAATAGCGGTGGTGAGTGCCCCACAAGATCACCCGAGGGCGTGTGAACAGCAGGACGGCCGAGACGGAGGAGGATTTAGTTACCTTTTTCTGTTATGAAACCTTATTATTGTTTAAAGTCACTATGTTCTTTAATTTACTTTTTTATTGCTTCTAAATAGATTTTGAATTTAGAGCAGAGATTTAGTCTCGAGCGGGGTCGAGATGCCATCACGACATTCTTTGGAGATACGTGGCTTAGTAACGTTGGTTGATCATAAAGAGTTATATTTGATATTGTAGTTGGAAGTCGATGATCGGTGACTGTGAACCCGCTAGCTCTAAATCATTAGAATTACCGTTTCAAGTTTATAACATTGTGACTTCCCTGATTAAATTGTGTATTGAGCACTGAATACTTTATTATTTGAGCCCTGATAACGCCCACAAGATGAGTAACCACTAAAGATGATGTTCGTAGTATATGGATAACACGACATATATATATATATATATATTTCTATATAATATATATATATATATATATATATATATATATATATTATATTATATTATATTAAATGTTTAAATATTTTTCTATCGGTCATTGTAACTTATACTTACAATATAAAATATACATAAGTTTTAAACCAGGAAAAGCTCAGCATCGCAAGCAAGTGTTTTCGGATTATTTCGCGCATTTATTAACCCCCGACGCACAAACGACGGGGTGTTATAACTTATAAGTTTGAGGTGTCTGTGTGTGTATCGGTCTGTGGCATCGTAGCTCCCGAACGGATGAACCGATTTTGATTTTGTTTTTTTTTTGTCCGAAAGGTGAATTATTCGGGAGTGTTCTTAGCTTTGTTTGATGAAAATCGGTCTAAGATGGCCGCCACCACAAAATGGCGGATTACTTACATCTTTTTTTACAACTCGAGGGATATTGAGGAATATTTATTTATTTATTACTAACACCAAAAAGATATACATTAACAAAATTTCAGAATTATAGCATGCCCACAAGTTAGAAGTTTAAATGTTAACTTAATTATAGGTGTTACACGCATTGCAAAGAAACACTTATACAAATAATAGAGAACAATAGGTACATGCAATAAAAACATAACCAGACAAAATAATCAAAAATAAATAGAATTGAGTTATAACATAATTCATTAAAATATTAAAAGTACAATTAAAATTATAAAAAAAATACAACAGAAAGAAATAAAAATGAATAATATAATACAGATAGATCAAATAAAAACATAATAAATTAAAAGTAATAATAATATAGATGGTTTCAATAAGTCGTATCAGTAAAACAATTATCTTTAAAATAAAAATTACGTAAATTAAATTTGAATTTAGAAATAGCATTAGAAAAAATGTGAATATGAGGTTTTGAGTCGATTTGCTTACTATCGTTATCCTTATAAATTTTATACAGTGAATTGTAGCTAAGCATTATTCTATTAATCGGTGAGTTGCGTCCTTGACGTGAGTGCGTGAATTTTTCTACAAACGGTATAATTGACACGGTCTCGTTAATCTTGTTGGAGCACGAATTAGTTATTAATTATTAATTAGTTATTTATGAGCACGAATTAATTTAGCTAACAGATATGGACTATCGACGACGCCATTCACCAATCTATGTAAAAAAACGAGATCAAGGAGTCGTCTTCGATTCCAAAGGGATTGAAGATTAAAGTATTTTAGGTTGTCATTATAACTATTTAGATTTTTTACTAGCTTGTGGTCATAGGATAAATGCCAAACAAATCTCTTTTGTATCCGCCCTATCCTGTGTGAGTAAATTTCTTCTTTTTAATTTTTAATTTAATTTAGTTATAAATCATTTCGATTTTTGGTTCCTGTTTCGAATGCTTAAGAGTAATAATAATGAGGACAAGCTAGTTTGTGACGTCACAAAAAAAATTATGCAAACCTTGTGTTCAAAATTATGCATTCATTTTGAAGAAAGTACTTAGATAATAGATATGGCACTGAAGTACTTT